AATAACAAAACAATAAACCCGATCATAATCTTTTCTTAACCCTGCTCCTTCACGACTGGACCAAAATGCGTGACTACTGTCTCCAACCACCAGTCAGAGAAGAACAGACACAGAGGAGGGAAACAGTGACACAGACAGAGGTACAGTAAAAGAAAAAAAAGGTCAATAAGCAGGGTTTGTACATGTTATTATCAGCTGAGCTGTGATGAAAAGAAAAATACCGTCAAATACCGTGAAACCGGTGAAAATGTTGAAAATACCGTGATATAAAATTTTGATCATATCGCCCAGCTCTACTTCAGGCCTTGAAAAAGAGATCTGAGATCTCAACAGGACTTCCCTGATCAAGTAATGGTAAATAAATAAATAAATAAATAAATAAATAAATAAATAAAAGCTATTATTAGCCAATTTGAGCTTTTTCTAGCTAAAATGACGTTTTTGTGATAATTTCACCTACCAGTACTTCTTATTAACTCAGCAAACGTGCTTATGTCATTTTTTGTCTTCATCGCTCCATCAAAGCTGTGTATTTTAGCCAGCAAGAACAATAAAGTGACATCAGTTTATTATAAAACATATTTTCTGTGTTCATGTAAATAATAATAAAGTGTAACGCAGCCTGAAAATAGTTGCTTTTTTAAAAAGATTCAGTAAATAACTTTATAAATAGCCCTCAGTATTTTACAGGAAACTCTGTGTGGTTTATCTTATCTGGAGCTTTTTGACTCATTGATCTCGTCACTGTAGTTTCAGAATAAATCAATCTACATCAGATTCGTTGACGTTGTGCTGATTTTATCCTGATGAGTTAAAGGAAGCGGGGGTGGCTGCAGGGAGCTTCCTCAGCTGACCTTTGACCCCATGTTTGTCCTCTYTCATTCATCACCCCATCGTCTCTGCGGCCCCCCGCCGTCACCCTCACCTCCCCCCGTGTTGACAGAAGCTGATTGATTGCCCTGTTGAATAGATGATTGGTGAATATTTAGAAAAGACAGGAAGTCGAGACAGAAGCTCTCAGCGGGCGTCATTAAGCAAATGTTGGTTGAAATTAGGACCCTCTTCTTTTTTTTTTTTTTGTTGTGTCTCTTTTAGCTGACTGAGTCACTTCAGTGATGTCATCTTGTTTCTCAAGCTTTCACACTGAGATCCTTTTTTCTTCTGTACGTTTTTCGACACGTGTATTATTTATTCCACAGTTTTTGTGCTATTTCAACAATTTATATATCAAAACATTCAGCTAGTTCAGGACATTTCGGCTATGACTTTTAGGAAATCAGCAATTTATACTTTTTGAGATATTTAGTTTTTTCTTCATTAAAAATGAACGGCGTTATCAGCGACATCCTTAAAAACTTTTAAATCTTTACAGCACTTTTTACCTTCAGTTCTTTTTTTAGATTTCTTTGTGCTAATTTCAACTTCCTTCGGCTCGCACTTTACCGATTTCAGCTTTCTTTTGCTGTTTTACTCATCATTCAGACCTTTTTGCTGTTCTGCCAGTTTCAACAATTTTGTGCTGCTTTCAACTTGTTTTTGATCATTTAAGCTTTTTATACTTCTTTCAGCTGCTTTCTGTTCATTTCAGATTCTTTTTGTGTTTTTAGCTACTTTTTTTTTTAGCTCATTTGAGCCATTTTCTTCTAAGTTCACCTTTCTGTGATAATTTCAGCTTTTTCACTGCAAAAACTGTCCATCTTACCAAGTTTTAAAACCTTATATCCAGCCAAAAAGTCTTTTTAATCTTGTTTTGAGACTGATTTAGTCAAGTGTAAGAATATTCATCTTGTTTTCAGAATGTGTAAGATTATTTGTCTTGTTGGCCTGAAAATTTGACACAAATTAAGTCAAAATTTTCTGCCAATGGAATAGGAAAATTTTACTAGGTAAGATTCTTGAAATAAGAAAAAGTTGAGTCAAATCAAGTATTTCAAGAATCTTTACCAAGTAAAATGTTCTTACTCCATTGGCAGAAATCTTTGACTTAATTTGAGTCAAATTTTCAGACTAACAAGACAAATAATCTTACACATTCTGAAAACAAGATTATTATTCTTACACAATCAGTTCTTGTTTAATAAATCAGTCTCAAAACAAGATCAAAAAGACTTTTTGGCTGATATAAGATTTTAAAACTTGGTTAGGTGGACATGTTTTCCAGTGTACTGCCTATTTCAGTAAATTTGCTCTTCCTTTCAGCTCTTTGAGCAACTTTTTAGCTTTTTTCCTGCTAAATTCAACTGTTTTGTGTTTTGTTACTTTTTTTAAGCTAATTTTTGCTTTTTTCAGCCAAATTCACCTTTTTTTGTGTTAATTTTAGCTTTTTACTGCTTAATTAAAGGCACTCTTTTAGCCTTTTCAGCTACTTTTGAGCCATTTTTTCTACTTTCAGCTGTTTTGCAACACGTTGCAACTTTTATGTTCTTGTTTTCACCAGTTGAAATTAGCAGATGATGAAAGGAGAGCTAAAAAGCTCACATTAGCAGAGAAAAGAAGTACATAAAAGCATTGGTATGTACTAGTACTACTACTAAGTATGACCTCAGTTAATTTCAAGGTCACAAAATAAAAGGTCAAGGTCACATGCTTCTCCTTGTTTTACCTTTCGTCTAAATTTCAGCTATGTACTTTTTTTGTAACGTTATTGTTTCAACTTTTTTCTGCTTTTTGAACTATTTTTTGCAAATATTTTCTCCTTTCTGCTAATTTTAGCTATAATTTTGCTCTTTTAAGCGTTTTTTTTCCATTCAATTTTTCTGTTTTTCTACAGTTTTTTACTTGTTTTTCTACTTTCAGCAAAAGTCAGCTGTTCAGCTTTACCTCACAACAGTTTTTCTATTAAACATGTTCAGCTTGACTCCAGCAGCTTTCAGCAATAATCATTCACGCTGCGTTTACGCAGGAAATGCACCTTCTGTTGTCTTCGTATTGTGTTTTGGAGACGCTGTGAGGTGTTTGAAAACGCTGCTTTCATTCCGCAGCGACTTTTAAAAGTTATCACAAAKAGAATCTGCTCTATGAAAGAGAAAGATAAAAAACATCCTGTCCCTCCTGCTGAAAGCCACTCTCAACCATCTGCAATAACAGTATCAGGTTTTTCCAGTGCTTTGACATGGATACGTTATCCCGATTTAAATGCAAATACTTTAAGGCTCAGCCTGCTTCCTCTGCGTTTAAAAAAGACCTATTATCATCTTGTCAATTTCAGTTTCCTTCCTTCAGCCGTTAAAACGTTCTCACATCCGCAGATTGCATACCTGCTCACACAAACACACACACGCACACACACACACACTCAACCTGTATCTCTACAGTGTCTGTGTTTTTCTTAAACTCGCCACGTGCAGCCTTTTGGCCTGGTAATAATGAGTCAACCTCCACATTTACTGCAGGAGACAAAAGGGCTGGAAGTTAAGTGTCGTCTCCTCCATCAGCCCGGAGGTGTTGACAGAGCGGACTGCAGTGGAGGAAGGCTCTTCTGAGGACTGAGGGGATGTTTGTGTGCTCTGACGAGGCAGAGCTGAGRRGGGAGAGGGGTTTTAAAAACTTTGGAGGAAGAGGAGTTCATCATGAGACGTCAGTTTCTGCTCCATCTCAGGGTGGCAAAGCATAATTCTTGAAAAGATACACATCTGTAGATGATAACTATAAAGATAGATTCTCCTTTTTTGACACTGGTGTGTATCTAATTTAGGCTCGTGAAACAAACATTGGTCAAAAGTTTATAATATGTGGTTTGGTATCATTTTAAAGGAGACTCATTTGGCTTTCATTTGCTTTGATCTCCAACAAGACATAAAAATGCATTAAAATAAATAAATTAATGCAAAGCAAACACTTCAAAACCAGTGGTTCCCCTAAAGCACTAATAGGGGAACTAATTTTCTGATTAGTGTTTTAGGGCTTGTGATATTTTTTWAATTCATTAGTGAATTTTTATTTACCATTATTTAACCAGGCAAGTCCCACTGAGATCTAGGATCTCTTTTTCAAGGGAGGCCTGGGACTAGCACTTGATAAATTTATGGGCTAAATTTAGAAGCTCTAACTAAGGTCTTTAAATGTTATTCCGAAAGTTGTCAGGCATTTTGTATTTGTTTTGTTATGTGTGTCACTTATCCACTAGTTGACTTATTGACACTATTCTGCACACAGTAAATATTGTTTCATTTCGACTTTGAAGAATCTTCCATGGGTTGATTGGGTTATATTAGTGCTTTTGAATTAGCTTTTGCTAAATTTTTCAGTGCGTTAGTTAAAAAATAAATAAATAAACGAACGTTACAATGTTACAATGTTGTAAGACATTCAAGTGAAATGTCTTCGTTACAATGAAGTTATCACGAATGAACGAACAAATGAACGTTAGTTCGTTCATTCGTTCGTGGTAACTTCGTTCATTCGTTCGTGGTAACTTCGTTCGTGGTAACTTTGTTTGTTCGTTCGGTCATGATAACTTCGTTCGTTCGTTCGTGGTAACTTCGTTCGTGGTAACTTTGTTTGTTCATTCGGTCATGATAACTTCGTTCGTTCGTTCGTTGGTGGTAACTTTGTTTAATTTTTTATATGCCATGACGTACGTACGTACGGCATATAAAAAATTAAACAAAGTTACCACCAGATGACTGAGCTCCTCTCCCAATCTCTCATTTTGGCTACTTGTACGGATCTGGTTCTTTCGGTTACGATCCAAACCTCATGGCCAACGGGAGGGTCGGTACAAAGGCGGACCAGTAAATCCAGAGCTTCATCTTTTGACTCAACTCTTTCTTCACGACTGATCGAAGGAAGGCCTTGATCCGTCTTCTGCTCCGTCCTTGTGAAAAGGACCCCCCAGATTCTTGGAACTCTTCCACCTGATTCAAAGAACAAACTTCAACCCAGAGGGGTCTTTCCACCCCATTCCACCCCATATTATATCATTACAGTTATGAAACCCTGTGCCTTTTGCTACTCATGGTGTACACTATCATCCAAAACCACTGTTTCTTTTCTTTCAGGGACCAGAACTGCTGAGCAAGTATGTAGGAGAGTCYGAGAGAGCCGTTAGAGAGGTACGTTCACAAAACATCGGTGTTTGATTGTGATCATTACCTGCTATAGACCGGCATTCAGTCCTGTTTGTTTTCAGTCAAGTGAAATGTCTTAGACGTCATAAAGCGATGACCCGAGTTTCTGATTTCTGGCATTTCTGAGAGCTGAATTTCCTGTGTATGTTTGTGTGCCAGAGTGATTCATCAGTCCCACGAAGCACTTGTCCTGTTTTCGTCACAGCTATTGTTTCCGATTCTTCTCGCAGGTGTTTCGGAAGGCGAGGGCGGTCGCTCCCTCCATCGTCTTCTTTGATGAAATCGATGCTCTGGCCAGCGAAAGAGGAAGGTACAGYGAGTTTATTTGTGTGAAAATGGAACAAAACAACAAAACACTGCAAAACAAATCTCAAAATAGCTTAATAGGTTTCTTATGGGATTCACCTGACTGCTGTTTTTCTGGTTTTTAGTCATCTGAATGTTTTTATCTTTTATCTCTGTCAACAAGTTTGGCTCATTTTCTGTGATACTTTCTATGGCTTGTTTTTCATCTTTTATTTTTCTAAAATATTAATCTTTTTTTTTCTTTTTAACAAATATTTGTACTATAGAAATATATTTAGATCTCTTCAATCACATCTGTTTCAGCACATTATGCTTCTTTTAGCTAATCATTTAGCTAAAAGCTAAAACGATTCTTTTCTTTTTAGAATTTAGCTATTCTTTTAGGTTTTAACTAGCTTTTTTCTGCTTTAGTCTGTTGCTATGTTAACCTTTTTAGAAATGGCTTTTGCTATTTTTAGCTGCTCTTTTGCTACTCGTAGCTTTTAGTTAGCCTTTTGCTGTAAGTAGCAATGACCTACTGCTTTCATTTTAGGTATCCTTTTGTTGCTTTTAATTTCTAGATACCCCTCTGCTAGTTTTAGCTTTTAGCTAATCTTTTGCTGCATAACTTTTAGCTCCATTCAGCTACTTTTAGCTCCTAGGTAACGTTTAACTTTTTGCTACATTTTGCCTTGAGCCAATTATTTTGATGGTTTGGTTTTTAGCTACAGTCTGTTACCTTTAGCTTCTAGCAAGTGTTCTGTTTKTTAACATATTTTTTTCTTTTAGCTTTTAGCTAATATTTTGCTAAATAACTTTTGGCTACATTTAGCTACCTGTACCTTCTAGCTACCATTGAACCTTTTGGTACATTTTGCCTTGAGCTAATTGTTTGCTGAGTTCCGTTTTTAGCTACATTCTGTAACTTTTAGCTTCTTGCCATTGTTCTGTTTAACATAGTTGCTTCTTTTAGCTTTGAGCTAATCTTTTGTTAAGGTAAGTTTCTGGCCACATTCCTCTAATTTTGAAATTTATCTACCCTGGTGTTACTTTCAGCTTCTAGCAAGCTTTTTGATTCAGCTAACCTTTTTCTGCTTTAGCTTTAAATAGGCAATTTGCTACTTTGAGCGTTTAGCTGGTTTAGTGTTCTTTAGCCACTTATTTTTGAACAAATCCATTCAGCGTTCTGCATTCTTGGTGCGTTTTTGCAGAAAATAAAATTCCTCAACCTCTGCTCCCTGCTCTTCTGACCAGTTTGTACTATTTTCAGCACAGAAGTCGTTTATCGTCCATTCATGACAAATTCATAATCATCTCTGCAGCCGGTTTTAATTAACCCACCACCGCCTCCGTCCCCACACATCTCACTGTGATTCACACATGAAGGACAGCGCAAACATCCTAAACGGTCAGCCGAAGCTTGCCGCCCGGTTCCCATGGCGTCCCCTCTGACTTCTGTGGCTTTTCACCGCCGGCGAACACAGAACATGGTCTTGTTCGGAAGTGCTTCAGTGGGATGGCACTGGGAACATCTGTGGCTTAAAGGAAAGAGACGAGTGGGTCAGGGGGGTTGGGTGGACACAGGACACAGGCTGGAGGGGCACAAACACTTCATTGTGCTCTTTGATGGCAGATGGGAAAGGCCAAATATGCAGCATGCTTCCGGGTGAACCGAGCGATGAAGCTAAACTTTGTAAGGCTGAGCACAGAAAGGGCAACAGGCCATTCTTAAAAAGTGTTTTGACCAAGTCCTTTGTCAGATGTGTCACGTACTGTACTGCATCTGTTCTTTTAATATTAATCTATCTAAATTTAATTTTAAATGCACACTCTTTTTAACGGAACCTATATAGGCATTGAAGCATAAAAAATATGTTCAAAATGTTTTTCCTGTAGGCTATGGCACTGGCAAGTGAGAAGGAGACTTTTCGTATATGTTAGCAGTGGAGAGGCTGGTGACTAGTACGCCTAGGCTGGTCACCTAGTGGTTTGCTTAATCCTTCTGCTGTTAGGCTGCTTTTCAGCACTGGAAAACAAAGTATGCATCAAAAAACGTGGGTTACCAGTCTAGGCATGTTAGATGTTAGCCTCTCTGATGATAAACCCACGCTATCCAATGCTAAAGTCACTATATCCAATTCTAAAGCCACTATATCCAATGCTGAAGCCAATTATCCAATGCTAAAGCCAGTGTACGAATGCTAAAGCCTGTCCATCCAATGCTATAGCCAGCCTACAAATGCTAAAGCCACTCTGTCCAATGCTAAAGCTAATCTATTAATGCTAAAGCCTGCCTATCCAATGCTGTGTTGCTCTGTTTTATTCATTTGGCTGAATTGTGAAGCATTTTGGTCAACTTTTGTTGTTTTTATGTATTATATAAATAAATTGACATTACATTGCTAAAGCCAGTGTACAAATGCTAAAGCCTGCCTATCCAATGCTAAAGATAATCTATTAAGGCTAAAGCCATCCTACAAACGCTAAACCCACGCTATCCAATGCTAAAGCCTGCCTATCCAATGCTAAAGCCTCCCTGTCCGAGGCTAAAGCCAGTGTACAAATGCTAAAGCCAGCCTATCCAATGCTAAAGCCATCCTACAAATGCTAAACCCACGCTATCCAATGCTAAAGCCTGCCTATCCAATACTAAAGCCTCCCTGTCCGAGGCTAAAGCCAGTGTACAAATGCTAAAGCCTGCCTATCCAATGCTAAAGCCTCCCTGTCCAAGGCTAAAGCCAGTGTACAAATGCTAAAGCAAGCCTATCCAATGCCAAAGCCATCCTACAAATGCTAAACCCATGCTATCCAACACCAAAGCCTGCCTATCCAATGCTAAAGCTTCCCTGTCCAAGGCTAAAGCCAGTGTACAAATGCTAAAGCCAGTCTATCCAATGCTAAAGCCAGTGTACAAACGCTAAAGCCACTCTATCCAATGCTAAAGCCAGTGTACAAACGCTAAAGCCACTCTATCCAATGCTAAAGCCAGCCTATACTTGCTAATGAACAGCAGAGGGAGTAGGCAATCCAATGGATGGCCAGCCTAGGTTTTCAAGTCACTAGCCTCTTAGTAATTGGTGCAGGCCTCTCATTATTCAGATAAGTTGCTAGCTTTGGAATAAATATAGCCTGCTGCTACAAGTTTTTTCTATTTTACTTTATTTCTTATTAACATATGTGAAGACGGCTGTATTTTTTAACAGCCTCGGCCAGCTGCTCCTCAAACCTATCACAATAACCAGCGTCTGGAATCAAACCAGCGGAAGCAGAACGGCAATCTGACTGTCAGGGAGTGACGGACACAGATGTGTGATTACCATGGTGACCACAATGAGCCTCTGGTTAAAGGTTTTGTTAAAGGTTTAGGCAGCAGATTTTCTACTGATAATGTATCGAATTGTCTCTGGAGTATTAAATTTGTCTCTTGTAGATAAAAAAAAACATTTCCATGTTAACGTCCGTATATGGTTAGGTGTCGCCCCGGGCTAAATCAGTAATAGATTAAACTCAGAATCATTCATCATTAATGGACCACAACTACAACACTTTATAAACTTTAATGAGTTGCACTTCAGAGTGCGCATTTATTTTTAAAAAGAGCACTTCAAACAGTTTTTTTATGATTTATTGCACTTTTGGCTGATTTCCAGTCTGCACTAATTTAATTTTTCTTCCCAACTCTTTTTTTTTAAGTTTGATGACTTCCCTCTGCCTCTTCAGTATGATTGAGTTTTCCTTTCCTTATCTTGATTTTCATTTTTAGCTTACGTTTGCCAGCTCGCAGCGATCCAGACGCAGGGCTGGACCTGTGCCTCGAGGCCACTCACCGTTTTAAAAAAAAAGCTCTTATTGCGGATCCACAAAGGTTATTTATTGGTCTTTACTTCCTGCCGTGTTTAATCAATGAAGTGGCTCACGCACGCCGGCAAGAATTCAAAACTGTTGACACGACCAGACGGCCTCTGCTGCTGCACCGTSTGTSTGTSTGTGTGTGTGTGTGTRWGKRTARSRAT